AGAAAAGATGCACTAAAATGTGTCAAAAAGATTCAAGTATTCCTACTACTGTCTAGAAACAATATCACTTCTACTATCTGAAATCAATGTATTAATACAGTGTGTGTTAAGCCCTGGTTGGTAGGGTCCTAGAGAATTAGCATTTAATCTTAACAGACAGAACAGACAGAACCATTTGCCTTTTCACCTGCACTAAGAGAAAGATAGTCAAATGAAAAGCATGTGGTTGTGAAACAGAGTTCTTAAAATTCTCAGTGCTTAGGAAAATGCTTGGAGGAAAGATATATCTGATCCCTATCCTACAGAGTTATCTTTGGGAAATCAGTTGAGCTGGGTGGAAAACCAGTTTTCCCATCTTACAGAATTATCATGTTTCCTTTCTTGATTCCAGACCAAAAGTTGAAATCTTTTTCGTAAACAGGGAAAAAAGCTGCTTGGGTTAAATGAAACATTGAATTCTGAAACCTATGAAATTTCATTTTGATTTTATTTTTGAAAAAACCTCTTTTATAATTCAACTCAGATTAACGTTCTAAATGTAAATGAGTTTTTAACTGGGAAATTGGCTATCATTTTATTTTAGAAAATACTAATTCAATGTTTTGACAGTTTCACAACTTTTTCAGAAGTTTTCCAAGTCAAAAACTCACTGGATCTGTTCCTTTTTCAGGAGCAGCTTAAGTTTTGACAAACTGGCATTTCCTGATGAGTGGAAGGGCATTATTGGAAATTTCTATTTTGGCACCTGTGTCTGAGCACTCAACTAAGCCTCATCTGGGACAGAGTGGTCATACTGGAAAACTGTACCAAAGCATTGGTTCTGCAGGAGTACCACACCACGATCCATGTCCCATTGTTCTTACCATTCCAGTTAGCCAAGCCACTCTGGGGGTAAAAGCAGATACTGGGTTTATCCTAGACTGATTGTTGAGGGCTTTGACTCACACCAGAAAAGGTACACAGGCAGCTTGAATGGCAATTAACTCAAATTAGTCCCAAGTCTGGAGAGGAGGGCAGGAAGAAGTGTCATTTTGGTACTTTACAGGTATTTTAAGTGGGCCAATAGGCATGTACCTCTGTGGGATTCTAGAATAAAAGGCTGTGTCCCAAGAGAAATTTATTTTAGCCAATTATTTCATAGTAAATTGTGTGAGAGCATATTTATCTTTCTGAGCATATGGGAGAATTGTTGGAGGACAGTCAGCCTTTAAGTGATTTTGCCTGCATTTTCAATGCAAAATGTGTTGCAAGCCTGAGCGTGGGTCGTGGATCTTTTAGTTTATAGCCCCAGGAAAGGTAGTTAACTTGAGTTGAGAATACTGCATAAATTCAGGTCACAGGTGTGTGTGTGTGGATGGGTACCAGGTTAGAGCGAACCTGAGTTCTTACTTGAGTGTTAACCTTTTCAATGGGGGAGCCACACACTATTATACGATCTGGCACCATGCACAAGGATTTCTTTAACTAGTCAAATTGTTGTGTGGCCACAATTTTGTAAGTAGCTATTTTAAGTACTTTTCTGTATGTTTTATTTTCATATAATAATTCAGTGTCTGTCCTGTGCACTGACTTCTGCTATCATTTGTGCCACTTTACAATCCTTGCTAATTCTTTTCATCTATACTATCCCAAAATGAAAGGACTTAGTTTAAGCACTATTGTTTACCTAGATCTCATAAAAATGTATTTAGCAATACAATTCTGCAAAAATGCTTCAGGACTATTTGCTTATTTAATAATTGCTTTGTTCCTTCACTAGTCGGGATAATAATGCTATGAACCTTCCTAAGGATTTTCACCATCCACAGCACTGAGAATGAAAAGTATTCAGGTTTTTTCATTTAATATAATACATATGCCCTGTATCAAGTATACTCCTTCAAATCATGCCCAATCACACACCAACTTTTTTTGAGAAAAAAAGTCTTATCTTTTTACAAAACCATGTACAAAATGCCAATATGCAGAAAATAAGCGAATTGTTTCTGTTACACCTGTATTCCACATTAAACAAATCACATAGGAAATGAAAACATTACAATTCCACAGACTTATTAATGAACATTTAATAAGTGTTACTTAATTTCCTTTAATATATTATTTTACTGTAAGCTTCAGATTTGTTTGCTTTCTTTTTTGTTTGAAAGACTGGTCTCAGCAATGGAATTCCACAGCATGTGGGGCTGGTTACTTCCTTCAAGAAGGGAAAAAACATAACTTGTGGTTCAGGCATTGAACTAGGGTTTGGGGGAGTTGTGTTTAGGACCTGGCTCTACCATAGACAAGTTACAGTTTTTGCTTTGGCTTCACCATGTATAACAAGGAGATAATATTCCTTTGTCTTTTTTTACACTGTTAGCAGCTCTTGTGACCTCTTTGCAAATAATTCTATTTCAGCAATGCTTTGAGAAGCTTCATCCTTTTCAGAAACGTAAGACTTAACAGGGAGGAATCCTTTTCTTTTCTTTTATTTGTGTGTGTGTGTGTGTGTGTGTGTGGGTGGGTGGGTGGGTGGGTGGGGGTGGGGAGCTGAAAGCTCTACAGCCTTGGGAAGATTATGAGAGCTCTTGCTGCGTGGATAACTTTGTATTAATCAAAAGATATTGAAAGAGCTGACAACACTAACTGTGCTTTCAGTACAGGCAGTAGAAGTGGAAAGGGGGAGTTAGAAAACCAAGACAAACCAAAAAACACTGTTTTGTTTTATTACACTCATGATTTTTTTTTCTTTTTTAAGCTTTGCTCTTGTCTGTTAGACTTCAAACTCTTTAGGGCAAGTTCTTTTTTTCATGGTTTATATGTAAGTACCAATGGTGGGACCCCATTTTCAGACAGCTCTCCCAGCTAATACTATACTACACAAATTAATTTTCTAAATTATAATGGCAGTGTTAGAAAGATGTTGCTGTCATGGTCCAGGAATTATATGAGAGGCAAGGATTTCCTAGGTTGCAAATGCAGTTGGTCTTATAAAGGATATCACCTTAAGAAACCCTTATCGCTTGCTAAATTATTGTATCATTTAAATATATATAGTATAAAAGACCCAAATCACAAGTGAAAAACAGTTTATTTACCATGCATAGTGTAGAGAATTTCTGATAATTTTGTAAATCCATATGTTATCTGGTCAACCAATGATGATTCATGATTCCAAATGTTTAAAGGGATCTCTAGAACTAGGAAGATGAGTTGTATCATGGTAAAAGTCAGTCAGAGATGGCTGACTAGGTGGAGAGACATGTTACACTACTTTTTTTTTTTTTTTTTTTTTGAAACTCCAACTCAGATGTCCTGGTCTCCTGTGTTTTGAAGTTGGAGCCATGGGCAACTGGTGCCCCCGACGGCCCCAGTCAGCAACCAGGGGGGTCCCCCTGCGGCTGATCGTGCTGACCCACAAGGGTTGCATGGCACTTCCAAGTCCATGCGATCTGCTATGGGGGAACCCTCCCCACCCCTGCCCCCAGTCAGCACGATCGGTCGTGGGGGAACCGCGGGGATCATTTCTTCTGGTGCCACTACTCCCAGGCCAGTGCTCTCGGGGAAGGCACCAGTGCTCTCGCCTGCCCTCCCTGCCCATCGCCTAAACGGGGAACTCTGCTGTCAGGGGGTGCACCAGCCCTCTCAGTGGGTGCACGTGCACCCGTTATGCGTCGCCACTGGTTGGAGTCCATTGTAATAGTCCTTCAGCAGTGTCTCTGAGTATATTTAAAAAAACAGAATAATAAAGGAGTAGGGCTAGAAGGGACCTTCAGGCTAGGGACAGTAAGTAATCAGAAACTGGTTTACACCTGTAACAGAACAGAAGTTCAGTGCATATAAACCAGTTTCAAAATGGCTGAAACTGGTTTAAGATAACCCTGGTTGAATGTAGTAGCAAACTTAACTGATTTGAGTCAAACCAGTTTATGAAACTTCTGTCCCAGACCCCTTCCTGGTCTAAGTTAAATCAGAACTCCCTCGAATGCTTTCTAACCCTGGGCTGGGCTGTGCTGTCTGCTCCAGCAGAGAAGGGTCGGGGAGCGGGGGCAGGGGAGGAGGCAGAGACTGTCCCCACCCCAGGCAAACACTGGCTGGGGTCTGGGACCAGGGAGGGGAGTTAAACCCCGCTTTCTCTGAGTACAGAGCTGCAGTATTGCCAGCCCTAGCTATGGGACTCTTCAGCCTGGAAAAGTGTAGGCTCAGAGGAGATCTGATGGCCACCTATAAGTTTATAAGGGGTGTTTACCGGGATCTGGGGGAACGTCTGTCCACCAGAGTGCCCCAAGGGATGACAAGGTTGAATGGTTATAAACTCCTGCAAGACCATTTCAGGCTAGCCATAAGGAAGAACTTACTTACTGTCTGAGCCCCCAAGGTCTGGAATGGCCTGATGCCGGAGGTGGTTCTGTCAGGTTTGACCTAGAAACCACTATACAAAGCCCAAGCAAAAGTCTCTGTTATGTAACTAATGCCCATCTGCAATGATTTGCAATGATAAGGAGAAGACAGTCTTAGATAAAGGAGACTTGAAAACAAAAATAGAATTAGTGGAGTAGGGCAAAGAGCTGATTTAAATATTAAGATTCACACCCCTAGGTGGGGAGAAAGTATGCTAATGAAACATACATGTATGGAAATGAGATACATAGCTAAAACACAGGTATAGAGACATGCTCAGTAAAGAACTCCTTGCGTCACTCCCTTATAACCAATTAGCAAACAAGAATGCTTATGAAGGTCCAATACTCCTGTATAAAAGATGCTTAGAATTAAGAATCTGTGTGCTTGTTACGTGAAATTATTCTGCTTGCACCTTGTATTGCTAGCAATAAATCTTCTTTATACTTTCACCCCTGGTATCTTTATTGGCTTTTGCATACCGGGCACGATCCCAGACTTGAGCTGGGGCTCAACAGTTCAAGCACCTACTTCGAACGCCTTCAAGAGAAACCTGGATGTTTTTCTTGCTGGGATCCTATGACCCCAGCTGACTTCCTGCCCCTGGGGCAGGGGCTGGACTCGATGATCTTCCGAGGTCCCTTCCAGCCCTAATGTCTATGAAATCTGTGAAATCTATTAAATGTCAAAAATCATGAAACAAAGTTAAAAATCAAGAGATCTGGAATGTAAATCATTCGATGCTATTTTTGAAGTGTGTGTGTATGGGGAGAGGGTTATTTGTGAAGGTGTGGGAGCTGCGGGTGTGGGGGGGGGGCCTGGGGGGGGTCCCCCTGCATACCGTGGCCGGGTGAAGGGGCA